TTGCAAGTCTTTGTTCATTCTGAGTGTTTGCTTTCCTGACTTCATATCTGCAGATTCGAGTTATCTGCTTTTATAGGGTAAGCATAAGCTATTGGAAAACATGAAAATGTATTTAAAGTAGTAAGAATCCAAGGATAAAGGAATTCCGTGAGACAAAAGGGAGAGCCAACTGAAATTTAACTATGAACCCAATGACTGAGACTGACACCAGAACGAAGCCAGTGGACTGCAAACAAAGGACACTGAGCAGCAGTAAAACACAGCTAGGTGGCAGCAAACCAGAGACTGTGAACAGTATGGTAGACCTTGATTAGCAGTGCTGCAGAGCTACATGACAGAGGAATAAAGTGTCCCGAGGAGTGACTATGGGCAGTGAGGTGAATTAGCAGTGGCACTGGATTGCCTCTCAGATAGGCCACCTCTCATCTGGGCCATCTCTCATCTGGGCCATTTCTCAGCTTGGTCACCTCTCAGCTGGGCTACCTCTCTTCTTTTGTTCAAGGAGTTCAAGTTCTCTTTTTAATCCCTCCTGTAGCTAGCACATACTCTCCCCTTCACCAATCATTCTTAGATATTCAAGTTAGAAATACACCTGATCACAAATTAGATATGTATCTGTAAGGCCTATTTCTTAAGTTCTCCTGATAAGCACCATAGTTAAATTTTAGTTGGCTCTCCCTTTTCTCTCATGCAATTGCCTTATCCTTGGATTCTTACTACTTTAAATACATTTTCATGTTTTGCAATAGCTTCTGCTTACCCTGTAAAAGCAGCCACTGACTCACAATGGGTAATTGTCAGCTAGCATGTGAGAGATAATCACATATCTATAGCTGGAGCACTTGGAATATCCATAAGACAAAGGACAAAATCCTTGGATTACTAATGGAGAAAGCCACCATTAGAGCAAATAGAGGACTGTATTTGATACTAAAATTAACAAACTATTAAGAACTTGAGTATAAAAGAAAACCAAAAGTAATAAATTTCATTCAAACAGGGATCTGTTTGGTAGGGAAAAAAATGTGCAAGCCTCTCCAAGTTAGAGATGGAAAGATCACTATTAATAGCAAGCAATGTCACAATAAAAATAACCTCTCTTCTGGAAAAGAGTGGTGAGAATGAAACCTAGGGGAGGCAAAGGGAGGAGTGATTATATGAGATGCTGAGAGAGAATGTTTAATTGCATGAGCGATTAAAGAAACTTAGAGCAGTCTATGAAGCTAATTAGGAATGCACTGAAAAAAATATTATTTAGATTTCTGTTCTTTTTCCTATTCTATTATATTATCATCCTTAATAGATTTAGAGAAAAATAGAATCTCAGAGGAAAAAGAGAATGTTGGAAAGAAGAAATCTGTCAAGTACTAATGAGCAGAGTAGAAATGGGAGATACTGGGATATTTGTTTTCCAATTGATACAATTTCAGAAATCCTAAGCTTTTCAATATCCTCTAAGTGACAGGAGAATTTTTTTTATTCTTTTCATGAAAGATGGGTGAGCCAAATTCACCATGTGGGAGATCTTCTTATTTCCCATTTAATTACCACTAATTACATTGTCTTTAGAAGCAACAAACTACATTTTCCATTACATCAAAAGTGTATTTGAACCATACAGAATTCAACTTCATTATTCGTTTGTTTGTTTGTTTAACTTATATACTACTCATCTCACCTACAGGCAACTCTAAGTGCCTTACATTCAATAAAAACAAGACAAAAACATGAACATATGAAAGAAAGAAATAATAACCCTAAAATTGTTTTAAATCCTACTAAATAAGGGATACAACCATGGATCCCTTGATCTATCTATAGTAATGCATATACTTGGCCATAAATGGTCCCTGTGAAGATTCTTTCAATCCATATAATTTTTTTCTCTTTCATACTACAATAGGCACAAACAATTCAAAACAATTTCTAGGAAATAAGATTTTGGATGCAATGTGTGGGAAATGTTCTCACTTTGTTCCCAAATGCCAAACTGTAAAAGTAGCAAAACAAATTACTTTTTCAGAGTTTAGATAGTACCTTGTTTGTGAGGTTATATGAGATCATAACTGAATTAATAAAATTTACAAATATGAGAAGCTTCATATAAAAAAGCTCTATTAACATTGTTATTAATATTCCCAGCTTTTCCCGCTAAAATTTAATCAGAATAGAGGTCTTCATTGTATTCTACAGTCATCCTACAATATATCTGCCTTTAAGACAAGGATTGGCAACTAGAGTATTACAGACATTCACTAAGGTGTCTGCCACCTGATCTGAATGTCAAAAATAAATACTGAAAGCAAAAATGCAATATGATTCTGGTGAACCTCAAAACAGAATGCCAGTCTCTGTTACCTTCATTTCCATGAACGCTTCTATGGCCTATGGAAGCAGAACACAGGGTGGGTGATGACATCACAGTGCTTTATCTAGAAGTGACATTCCTACTGCCCTCCCTTCTCCCGACCAAGAAGGCAAAGAGACAATGGTATAGGAGAAAACAATCTGAGCAAATAAGGTTGTACTTGGAGTTCTGTGTTGTTAAATTTAATTTTAATCATCTAGGAAGCAACCAGTAACCCTTAGGGTCATCCTTTCAGAATTGTTTCCTTACCAGGATCCGAGCACCTTCAACAAGGATGAAGCTCCAAATATGATGCCTTCACTTGAAAAGTGGGGCATACACTCAGAGATAGCCCCTGTCGTGTGAGGCTATATAGCACAGTCAAATGACAGCACAGGAAATGATTTATGACTTGTTATATTATGTCATAAGCTAGTATAATAGATGCTAGGTATTATTATAGCTAGGTTTGGATAGATGCTAGGTATGCACCCCCATATACCTCAGAGGAACTGTAGTTTTGAATATGAAGGATTATAAGCTAGAACAAGGGACCCTGAAAGGTATCAGATGTCTCAGACAACTCTGTTGAGTCAAAGAAGGAAAAAAATGAGGAGATCTGTGCTGGAATTAATTTTATTTAATAAAATACTGTACATAGTTGAAGAATGGAATTGTCTGTCATAAAACGAGATAATGGCCACCATTTTGAAAAGTGATTAGATAATTTCATGGAGCATTGCTCTGTCAATAGGTATTAACCTTGATGGCAACTCAGTACCACTGAAATCACAATTCCATTGTCTATCCAACTATATTTTTTCCCCTTATAATACTATAAATGTCAAATGTGCTTAGCTTATCTTGGCTTTGATAGCAAGAATTGCAAGAGGAAGGGGAAAGACCAATTTCCTGAAGGCAGGACAAGAAGCAACGGGTGGAAAATAATAAGCAGAGAAGCAACCTAGAACTAAGGAGAAACTTCCTGACAGTGAGAACAATTAATCAGTGGAACAGCCTGCCTCCAGAAGCAGTAAATGCTCCAACACTGGAAGTTTTTAAGAAGAGACTGGACAGCCATTTGTCCGAAATGGTGTAGGGTTTCCTGCCTGAGCAGGGGGTTGGACTAGATGACCTCCAAGGTTCCTTCCAACTTTACTACTATTACTATTATTACTATTCTTCTGCCTGTGTTAATTTTTTCAGGTTTTGATGGGTTTTTGACAGTTTCCAGACTTGGAAGGCAATGTGTAGAGCTGATTTTGTAATACTAACCTCTTAGAATGATAGAATCACAGGGCTGGAAGGTGCTTTGGAGGTCTTCTAGTCCATCCCTGCCTAAGACAGGGGACCTTATTGCATCCAGGACAAATGGATATCCAATCTTTTCTAGAAGACCTCCAGTGATAGAGCACCTACAGCTCCAGAAGGCAAGCTGTTCCATTGATTGATTTTTCTCATGGTCAAAATATTCCTTCTTTATTCCAGGTTGGATCTCTCCTTAATGAATTTCCATCCATTCCTTCTTCTCCTGCTCTCTGGTGCTTTGGAGAATAGGTTGCCCCCCTTTTCTGTGTGACACTCTTGGCACCCAAGGAGGGGAATTGGAGTATGGGGTATCTCATGGGTTGGGGGGGCCTTGGACTGAGAGCTACATAGGATGGACTTCCAACATGGATTTTGTAGTACTCTTGCACTGGCTAACTAATTTCGGATTTTTTTTATTTTAAATTTGCTTTTAAATGCATTGCTAACAATCACATTATCAGACTACTTATATAAATTGCTTTTAAATAATGTTCTGATTCAGTTACTTATTAAAAAGTATGTTGAGGCAGAACCTAGGACCAGGTTTGGCTATCAGGATGGGCAGGGCATGTGGGCCTGTATTGGGCCTCCAATGGCTTCTTCCACCCATGAGGCAACCCAGGCTCCATTTAATGATTCACACATTGATTTTACATTTCATTGGGGAGAGCAGGGATGTCAGGGTCATTATGTGAATGTTTCATCTAATGATTGCCACAACATGTGACTGTAACGGACAGGTTCCATTACAGTCGTATCTCAAGGACTACCTGTATGAAGCAGTGCTATTGGGAACTTGATGCTGTCTTTATTGGCTATCAGAAAATTGCAGGGGCTGTTGTAGAGTGGGAAGCAGAATTGCTGTTGTGCTGGAAGGGGTAAGCAAAGTTTCATCAGCAAGAATCAAATGTGCAATCTTTTCATATAGGATCCCCACTAACAGCACCTTAAAAATCTTGTTGAAGAAGAGTTCTAATGTGCTTTCAGTGGGGATCCTATTCATTTGTCTGGAAGAAATTTCAAGGCAACATAGAAGCAGACTGTCAATGCTAAACATATCATATAGCATAGCAATATATTGAAATTGCAATTATATCAGTAGATAGTACAAATCACCAGTTATCAGCTGGGGATGTTTGTACCCCAAAACTTACAAAATACACTTCTTGAAAAAAAAACCACTAATCAATCAAGTAGACTTAAAAGCTAATATGACTAAATAAGATAAATATTCATATGGGAAATTATGCAATGTTGGCATTTCCTTTGGGGTTAAGAGATGGGTTACATCAACAGCTCTTATTTTAAGAGCTTATAGAGAGTATTTATTGTGGAGAAGGTATACAAAGTGTAGTTATTTTTTGGAAGAACATGAAGAAACAGCTATGTTGATTGCTTCGACATCTAAGAATCAGAGAATAATATGTTAACAAGTAAGTTATACATGAGGTGAATTTGATAATTAGTTCATTAAAATATAGGCTAGGCTCCTAACATAATATGGGTAACTGTGGCATCTGAATTCAATCAGTATAGTGATTATGGATCATCAATGTGATTTGAGTAAAATTAGTTCATCATTCCATAACATGTTAAATCCAACTATTGTTGGGCAAATAGCTCCCTACACAAACTGAGGCTGTACTTCAAAATTAACTCATTTTTTCACCTTGTTTTTCTTTTATGATATTCTATATTTTTTCAGTATTTAAACAATACTCCATTCATATTAAAATGGTGTAATTGTTTATGCAAGGCTCTTGTGAAAAACAATATCTGAAGAAAGCCCACAAATTAAGGATGAGGTAACTGGAATACAGTAGTAATGTTGATAAAATAAAGCTGAGTCATTTAATTGCTAATATTTTCAGCAGCAGCAGTATAGAATGCTATCTTTTAAACAGATTCTATACCTTCAGATAAGTTTAGCTTGAACAGGAAAATAAAATAAAATAAAAGGACTAAGATAGTGTAGAATCTCTTTTAAAAACCCTAGATTTCTTATTAATCTACCAAGAGCAAAATAATTAACTATAGGGTTGTATAGGTTAAAGTTTTTTTAAAAATACAAAATGTTATTGTATGATGAAACTACTAAATGTTATAATAGTAGGGTAATACGAGGATAAAATTGCATGCAAAATCTCCAGCCAAATATAAAAAAGAGAGAAAGACACAGGGAGAGAAGGAGGGGAAAATAGTAATAATTTCACAGCCAATGAATCATATGTAAAACATCAGATGGCTCCTTATTAAAATATTTCCCTCCAAGATTTCCATTACTATTTCCCATAGATCCATTATGTAAAACAAATCTCTCAAATTAAAACAAATTATTTCTGAATTTCAAAAAGTTGGATAAAGTTAGACTAGACATTTATGACCAAATAAACTTCACAGGATTATATCTGTTTTCTTTAGCTTTCTAAAAGTTTGGAATACCAAAAGCATAAAAATTGTGTACTACTGCCCCATTTTTACTATAGGTAGTCCTCAAGTAATGACCACAATTGAGCCCAAAAATTCCATTGCGAAGCAAGATAATTGCTAAATGAATTGTTAAATTGTTAAGTTAGTAACACGGTTTTTAAGTGAATCTGGCTTCCCCATTGACTTTACTTGTCAGAAGGTTGCAAAAGGTGATCACATCACCCTGGGATACCACAAATGCATACCTGTTGCCAAGCGTCCAAATTTTGATCATGTATCCATGGGGATTCTTCAATGGCCATAAGTGTAAAAAATAATCATAATAGACTTTTTCAGTGCTATTGTAACATTGAACTGTCACTAAATGAACATCTGTAAGTTGAGGACTACCTGTGTGGATATTTTATTTGCTGCCAGGGTAAATCTTAATAGAGATTTAATGCCATGCCATGATGGGTTGGGTCAAAGCTCATCTGCTTCTCCTTCCCAGTTTAAAAGAGGCACCTTTGTGGAATTTGATAGCAAAACCTGGTTGCAGCAATTCCCTCCCATTTGTGTTTCCCAGAATGTGAAATCGATGGTCATGACAGTTCTTACCTTTAAGGTGATCAATAGCCATTATTATGTGCATCTATTAATACAATTCTCTCTTTTAAAATTTCAGAAATTTGTGAGCAGCATCCTTTTTTTGAGTTTTATTGTTATCTTCTATGCTGTGTGAAGACATATTTCTTTTCTTCATTTTTTAAGAATGTCTCAAATTATTTCATCTGGGAAAAATTATTTCTCTGTGATAATTTCTCTGTCTTTTGAATTCAAATGAAACTTTTCATTTAAAACATGTGATGGCATCATTGTTTCAATGAAATCAAAAACATTCACATCTTATTGACCGCGGATGCTTATATTGCTACACAATTTTATAATTTAGAATAGAGAAATGGGAATTAAGGAGCATCAGAGTCAAAAAGTGATGGAATTTTAAGAATGTTATGTTTGTAACCATGCAACATAAAACTCATTTTTTATTATTTTGCATTGCAGGGGTGTTAAAAAATTTACAATCAGCTCACTTTTAGCCTATTTCTTCTATTTTTTTTCTAACCCTTGATTTTTTTTCCTGACCTTTTCAGAAAAAGTTGGGTGAACACTGGGGCAGAAGCAATTTTTTAATGTCAATCATTAGCAGTCGCACTTAGACTTATATACCGCTTCACCATGCTTTACAGCCCTCTCTAAGGGATTTACAGAATCAGCATATTGCCACCAACAATCTGGGTCCTCATTTTACTGACTGCAGAAGAATGGAAGGCTGAGTCAACCTTGAGCCGGTGAGAATCAAACTTCCGAACTGCTGGTGGCCGGCAGTAAGCAGAATTAGTCTGCACTACTTCATTTTAACCACTGCACCACCATGGCTCTTTATTATCATTGCTATAATAATATTTATTAGTAACAAATCTGATAGGAAAGTACAGATTTCTGGACCAAATATTTGATCCAAATTAGAATTTAGTGTACTTTTTCAAAGCATGTTGGGATTTGGGGAAAATGACTTATTCAGTGGAGCATTTTTTAGATCACATGATTTTCTCATTGTATTCCAGGCTTGGCAGGACATTTCCGAGAATGAAGAAATGTTGCATGGAGAGAAAAGAAACCAGACTGGCGTCACAGAATTTATCCTCTTGGGATTGGGGAACACTTCTGAGCCTCAACCTCTTCTTTTCTTCCTTTTCCTGATAATTTATCTTTTGACAATAATTGGGAATCTCCTTATTATTGTGCTGGTTGTAGCTGACCAACACCTTCACATCCCCATGTACTTCTTCCTGGGGAATTTGTCCTTCCTGGAAACCTGCTATTCCTCAAATATCTTGCCAAAAATGTTAACCAGTTTGTTAACTGGAGACAGAATTATTACTATGGGTGGATGCCTAGCCCAATATTATTTCTTTGGCTCTTGTGCAGCTACCGAAACGTATCTCCTTGCAGCAATGTCTTATGATCGTTATCTGGCTATATGTAAACCTTTGCTCTATGCTTCTATTATGACTAGGAAATTATGTTTCCAGCTTATCGCTGGGGCGTGGATGAATGGACTGCTAGCTAATGGTATCATGATGTTCCTGATTAATGAGCTATTATTTTGTGGCCCCAATATCATTGACCATTACTTTTGTGAACTGACTCCTCTACAAAAGCTTTCCTGTACTGAAACAAGCCGTGTTGAACTTGCTACCTTTCTTTTGGCCTTTATTTTGACTGTTACTCCATTTGTTCTAACACTCACTTCTTATTTTTCCATTATCACCACCATCATGAAAATCAGATCCAGCATTGGAAGGCAAAAAGCTTTTTCAAGCTGTTCATCTCATCTCACGGTGGTTTGTCTTTATTATGGCACCATTATGATTGTCTACATGTTGCCCGACACACCCACTCTGAGACATCTTAATAAAATCTTCTCTATCTTTTATACAATTCTGACTCCTTTGGCTAATCCTATTATCTACACATTAAGAAATAAAGAAGTTCACAAAACCCTCAGTCGTCTTCAGAATAAATTGACACATTTTTGGAAGTGGTAACCAGTAGGATTCTTTTTTTAATATAGAATATCTTGACTAAAGCTGATAAATGTAGAAATGCTGTAAGAGTCACTGAAAGGGATCTTTATAACTAATATTAAATTAATTTTGCCATTTCTTTTATGACCATCCATCCCCATGTAAATTTATTTCTGCAGCTTGTCACAGGCTCTCAGTTTCTACAATTTTTTTCTGCTGTCTCTTAGCATTTTATATGGATTCTAAAATTTTTGCTAATGTATATGTACAATCTGAATAGTTTTGTTATTATATTTCCAATAGTTTATATTTAATTATCATTTATTATTTTTTTTAGAAAAATTCTTATTCAGTTTTTTTTATTGTAGGTTTTTAATTTTTTTAAAAATTTAAATGTAATTTATATTATAATCCTTTAAATAATCAACATAAATGTGTGTATGAAATAATGGTCTTTTAAAAATAATTTTCTATTAATGGATCTGTTTTGATATTTTTTCTTATAACACAGCTTTGATTGACTTGTTTACTTCTATTTGTTCTGGTTGCTGGTTTACTTTTTCCTATTTAAAAATAAAGTGCATAAACCGTAATGAATTGTCCAAAAAACTATACATCTAAGGCTGCTTGCATTAACATTAATGGGACAAATGAGAAATAAATATACGAGGTTCCTATGTTGTTGTAAAGCAGCATGATTTGTAAAATTGAATATTATTCATTATAAAGAATGTGCACTAAACTAGAAGCACATTTCTAGCATTCTTACATAGAAGATTACAGTTGTATCTTATTACTGTATGTTTAAAAACAAGAAGGGACTTGTTGGATATAGCTGCTTAAGATTGATTTGAAGATGGAATCTGACTGGTCTCAGGGCCCATATTCTATAAAGTATATTTCTCAAACTTGACAAATTGTAGCTACTGTGTGGAGAATTTTGGGAGTCAAAGTTCATAGAGCTTAAAGTTGCCAAGCTTAAGAAGCACTGATATAAATTCTCATTTGGAAACCAGGCACCTCTACCTCAGGAAGAACAAAACCTTCTAACTAAAGAAATAAAAGAATTGAAACAAAGAATAACTGAGCATCTAGAACAGCACAAAAACAACAGAATAAGGCTGCCTGCATTGAAGCTTGTTTCAAAGAAACAGCTAGCACAAGCATTAAAAGATGCAAATACTGCAATAGCAAGTATAAGCACCAATTCACTGCAAGAAACAAACCAACTAATGTACAGCACAGCTGCAGTTATAACTGAATACCTGGGATGCAAAATCAACAAAGAAGAAAAACAAACAAACAGTGCACCAGAAAAATGGAAGGTTAGACTAGAAAATAAGATCAGCAAGTTAAGATCACATGCAAGCAAGCTAGAACAGATGAAAGAAAAGAAGTTGAAGAACAAGAAGACCAAAGAATACCTAATCAAAAAATACCACTTAGAAACAAGGAAGATCAAGGAAGCACTGGAAATAATAAAGCAACAAATAACAGCTATAGCCAGGAAAATCAGTAGATATGAAGCTCGAATTGCAAACTATAGGCAGAACCTCCAATTTCAATCCAATCAGAAACGTTTCTACCAATCCATCAATGGAGAAACTGCAAAGAATCAGTCAGTACCTGACAAGGAAGAAACAGTGCAGTTCTGGAAGCAGATATGGGATAACCCAAAGAAATACAACAAGGATGCGGCTTGGTTAAAAGAGGTGGATGCAAATAAAACAGAAGTTGAAATGAAAGAACTAGTAATAACAACAAAAATGGTAGAAAAAAGAGCAAAGAAAATCAAAAATTGGTCAGCACCAGGTGAAGATGAACTGCATGGGTTTTGGTTGAAACATCTAACTGTTATACACCCACTCATTGCCAAACAGTTCAACAATATACTACAAGGAGGAGAAATTGAAAAGTGGCTAACAACTGGGAAAACCTACCTAATAATGAAAAATCCAGCAAAAGGGGCAACACCAGGTAACTACAGGCCAATTACCTGCTTACCAACAACTTTCAAATTACTAACTGGTGTGGTAGCTGATGCAGTGCAACAGCATCTAGTTGAAAATAATCTCTTTCCACCTGAGCAGAAAAGAAACCGCCCCAACAGCAGAGGAACAAAAGATCAACTCCTAATAGACAAAATGATCTTGGAAAACTGCAAGAGAAGGAAGACCAACCTGAATGTGGCATGGATTGACTACAAAAAGGCATTTGACTCTCTGCCACATGATTGGATAATAAAGTGCCTAGAAATAACAGGAGTCAGTAGAAACATCAGAAAATTTGTGCAAAGATCGATGGCACAATGGAAGACACAGTTGCAGATCAATGGTCAGAGACTGGGAGAGGTTAATATCAGGAGAGGAATATTTCAAGGAGATTCATTGTCACCATTACTATTTGTTATTGCACTGTTTCCTCTGTCAACAATACTGAATAACTCAGGACATAGCTATCAAACATCAAAAACATCTGCCAGACTATCCCACCTCCTTTATATGGATGATTTGAAGCTGTATGGAAAAACATCATCTGAAATAGAATCGCTGCTCAACACTGTCCGTATATATAGCCAAGATATTGTAATGGAGTTTGGCTTGGACAAATGTGCCACACTTACTATCAAACAAGGAAAAATAATGAAAACTGAAGGAATCAAGATGCCCTACGAAAATAACATTAAGAGTCTGGAAGAGGAAGAGTACTACAAATATTTGGGTATCCTTCAAGCTGACAACATCAAGCACACTGAAGTCAAGAAAAAGATTAGAGGTGAATACATCAAGAGAGTGAAGAAGATCTTAAAATCCAAACTCAGTGGAGGAAATACCATAAAGGCAATCAACTCCTGGGCAATCCCAGTCATTAGGTACACAGCTGGAATAGTGGACTGGACTCAAGCAGAACTAAAGCAATGGATAGGCAGACCAGAAAAATAATGACAATGAATCATGCCCTTCATCCACGCAGTGACATTGATAGACTTTATCTACCAAGGCAAATAGGTGGGCCTGGAATGCTACAAGTACATCAGATGGTTGAAGAAGAAAAAATGGCTTTGGAAGAATATCTGAAGAACAATGATGAAGATGCAGTGAAATTAGTATATCAGGAAGGCTTACTGACTACTGGAGAGACCAAACTGGCCTACAAGAAAGACCAAATGAAGAACAGAATAGAGGCATTGGAAGACAAAGCACTACATGGCCAATACATTAAAAAAATAGCTGGGAAAGCAGATAATAATAAGACCTGGCAATGGCTAAGAGCAGGAAAATTGAAGAAAGAGACCGAGGGACTAATTCTGGCTGAACAAGACCAAGCCTTAAGGACAAATGCATATAAAGTCAAAATTGAGAAGACAGCAACAGACAGTAAGTGCCGCCTATGCAAAGAAGCTGAAGAAACAGTGGACTACTTGGTAAGCTGTTGGAAGACGATTGCACACACTGATTATAAGCAGCAGCATGACAAAGTAGCAACAATGGTGCATTGGAAGATCTGCAAAAAATATCATTTGCCTGTAAGCAAAAACTGGTGGGATCATAAAATAGAGAAAGTCATAGAAAAATGATAAAATTAAACTGCTCTGGGACTTCAGAATTCAAACAGACAAGCACCTGCAACATAACACCCCAGACTTAACAATTGTCGATAAGAAAGACAAAAAAATTTGGATAGTGGACGTGGCAGTGCCTGGAGATAGCAGAATAGAAGAGAAAGAACTGGAAAAGATAACAAAATGCAAAGACCTACAAATAGAAATAGAAAGACTGTGGCAAAAGCAAGCAAGGGTAGTACCAATAGTCATAGGCTCCTTGGGTGCAATTCCAAAACAACTGGAGCACCACTTGAACACCATTGGCATTGACAAATTCGCGATTAGTCAATTGCAAAAGGCAGCCTTATTAGGAACTGCTTCCATCCTGCGACGATATCTGTAATACCATCAAACATCCACATCTGCCTATCCCAGGTCCTGGGTAAGGACTCGATAGGTAGACAAAATGCCAAATCCAGTCTTAACATCTGGCTGACTGGGCGATGATCGATTATTATTAAGTTGAAAGGGACCTTGGAAGTCATCTAGTCCAACCCCCTGCTCAGGCAGGAAACCCTATACTATTTTGGACAAATGGCTGTCCTGTCTCTTTTTAAAAACTTCCAGTGTTGGAGCAATCACTGTTTCTGGAGGCAGGTTGTTCCACCGGTTAATTGTTCTAACTGTCAGGAAGTTTCTGCTTAGTTCTCGGTTGCTTCTCTCCTTGATTAGTTTCCACCCATTGTTTTTTGTCCTGCCTTCAGGCACTTTGGAGAATAGCTTGACTCCCTCTTGTTAGTGGCAGCCCCTGAGATATTGGAACACTACTATCATGTCCCCCCTTGTCCTTCTCTTCATTAAACTAGACATACCAAATTCCCGCAGCCGTTCCTTATGCTTTAGACCCCAGTCGCCTATCACCTTTGTTGCTCTTCTCTGCACTCTTTCTAGAGTCTCAACATCTTTTTTACATCGCGGTGACCAAAACTGGATGCAGTATTCCAAGTGTGGCCTTACCAAGGCATTATAAAGTGCTATGAACACGTCACGTGATCTTGATTCTATCCCTCTGTTAATGCAGCCTAGTACTGTTGGCCTTTTTGGCAGCTGCAGCACACTGCTGGCTCATATTTAGATGATTGTCCACTAGGACTCTGAAGTCCCTCTCACAGTTACTACTATTGAGCAAGGTACTCCCTATACTATACCTGTGCATTTGGTTTTTCTTATCTAAATGTAGAAACTTGCTTTATAATTATAGCCTCTTCAGTCAATACTTCTCCTGTACCAGTCCATCTGCAGCCATTCATCAATTTGGTTTGCTGGATCCTCATGAATTCTACACATGATACTCTCCAATTCTGAGAGAAGCCACCAGGGCTTACTGCTACTGGCATATAAAAGAAAAAAGATAGAAAAACAAAATATCCCCTCTTGTTGTTTCTTGCAACAATTACAAATAAATTAATAGTTCCCTTGTCCTCTATGATAATTACATACATGGTTCAATTTTTCTGATAACCCTCCCCATTCATGAACCCAAAATCATTTTCATTTCTGTTCACATGTTGGCAAAAAATCCATGAAAGGTTTTCAGAATTTTATAAAAATATTCATATTTTAGACCTGATCAAACAAGCCAACTTCATATTTCTTTCTTTGGCTTCTAACAATCTTAATTTTTAGTTCATCAAATTGCTTTTTTCTGCTCAAAGCAGACTTTCTTCCATCTGGAGATTTTTTTTCAAGGTTAGAAACCCTCGTTTGCACATCCAAAAATAAATCCTTACCCAGATCTTTTTTCATTGTGATTTGTCATTTGTGTTTCCACTTTCATTGTCATCTCAGTATAATATTAAAACCTTTAGTTCTTTTATTTTATAGTATTTCTCCATGAACAAAAATTTATATCACTCTTCCTCCTCTCTATCTATAATGTTTTCCATATATTTTGTTTATTAAATCAATCACTTCTTTTTTATAATTTTCAAAAATACATTTATTGGCTTCGGGTTTGTGATTGTGGCACTGGTGGACACACAGACTGATTGGTCCTTCCTCCGTTTAGTTTTCTCCTGCTGGGGGATCCTGA